CAGCATAACCTAAAACAGACTAACCCCTGACAACATGCTTTCAAAAGTGCACTGCTAATTTCATCTGATCTTCCAACGAGTTATAACACAGATTTTACATCAGTCTTGAGCGGGGGAAATGATGCCATTACACCAAAGAGACAATATCTCTCTGACACACACAATATCGGTCAACACATGACAAATCATGTCAGCAAACTGAGTATATCACATTATCACCATTACAGGCTGGGTATATTTAATAGATAGTTACAGAGTCAGCAGCAGAGACAATTCATATATCACTGAAGTCAATAGACGCATACATACAGCACGCTCTAAGCAGAAAACATGCACACATACACACAATACATGCAGAGGTAGCACGCTGCACATGCATGTAACTCGATTTGCTTTGATTTGTAAAAGGATCCGTTGAGTGCTGAACAATCAGTGATACCGTGTTCGGCTGTACAGCGTGGAACACTGGAGAGAAGGTGCAGAAGGTGTGGAAAGATCATGTCTGAATTTTCTTCACTTCTGAAATCCTTAAGACACTATTCAATCAACTGTTGGGCCACTTGATTATTATTGTCTGATATTTGTACTTAGATTGCTGATTTTGCTACTGCTGGGACTCCACACACAAGTGTTTGTGTTTTTATGTTGAAGCTTTTTGGATACAGGGTAGGTAAAGTATGAATAATAGAGTAAATAAGCACAATTCTTTATGTTTGTTTTTTTGCATTTTTACCTCTATCTGATTTACCACGGATAGAGAATGCAGGGATAGAGAGAGCAGGGTAATGACATGCAGCAAAGGGTCTGGGCCGGCCGGGAATTGAACCACAGAATCACCGCCTGTAGGCATACTTGCCACTGCGGTATGCACCGCAACCACTCGGTCAACGGGTTGCCCATATGTTTGTATTTTAACCAAATTAGCAAACATGATTCCTAGTTGAGGCTGGATCACTGACATGTCAAAGGTGGCAAAAGGCCTCAGACGGCCTCAGATTTACTGAGTGTCTGTTGGTTTGTCACAATTTGCCTAAATTCACATCTGGTTGCATTTGAACACTTTACATACATGTAATAACCTATTAACTTGTGCTTTATTAAAGATATTAAAAATAAAAAGTGTAATAAACCTTCCATCTAGATCAATGCAATTATCAGCAAGCCAGTATGATCAACAAAAAGAAACACATCATTATATAGCATCTTCTTTAAGTTAACTAATGAAAACATTTAGTTTAAATGTGGCACTTTATAGACAAACATCAGAAGGTCTATATTTTTCTTATTAAAAAGAATGTATTGTTTTACATTAAAATGTCTAAACTAGTTCAGAAATCAAATTGTCAAATCATGTTTTAGTTGCTTTTTGTGAGTTGATTTACATGTAACTGATTCTGTTAAGTGGACCATATAGATCACAGGGCACTGAACTAAATTGGATTGTGGCAGATTTAGTGATATTAGAAAACATCATATTGTTGCCTAAAGAGTAATATTGGATTGTAATGAAACTTGTGATTTACATCCCTTATTAAAATGTTTGTTGTTTCACTCTGGCTGTATTTCTGGTGGTTTATTAGATGCTTAGCAAAGATTTAGTGATTATTTCCACTTCTTGTATTCAAGAAAACTTCAAATGTCTTCATTTTGTGTCTTGCTGTGCCACACTGATGGTTCTTTCTGGTAATTAGTTCTGGAAAATATGTTCAAATGGTAGGAGGTTTCATAAGGACTGACTGTGGCACCCAGGACATGCACAATTTGGCAATGATAAAAAAAAAGATGGCACAAAGTATTTCAACATTTGTTAGGGTGCATAATATCGGGCTGGTATCCAATATGTCCATATTTCTAGTTCATTTTAGGTGATTGTGAATACTGATAGATGCCAATATTTCTTTCATGCCACTGCAAAGAAACATCAAGTCTCTTCTGTTGTGGAACCAACATGTTATTATGCCAACTCATGATGGCCCATAGGCAGGTGCGGACATTCACAAAATAGACAATATAAGAAAAAGACTTGAATTTAAATGTGAAACATGTCATTTCTACTTATGTACCATTTTCAGACTAAACTGTGGATTGTGTGGATTTTGGGCTGATGCTGATACTTCATTTTAAAGCCTTCATGAGCTGGTACTGATGCTGAAGTGGATAAAAAGGTGAATTTCTATTGGTTATAACATATGCAGGATGTTGAGTTTATGAAGACTGGAACAGATGAAGCTGATACCTGAGGGGAGATGGGTTTTTTGCCCTGGGGCCATCTAGTGGGTCAAACCAGCCATGATCCTGGTCCTTCGACTGACGATACCAACATTGCCAGAGTTCGATTCCCAGAATAACATATGAACTTGCTGTATAAACCTGTTGCTGTGTGGCAATATATAGGATAAGGCAGGTTTATATTTTTTGTCATGCAGTAAAACTGCAGTGGAGTAGCAAATCACTGTGACAATTTAAAATAATATTTAAAAACACAAAGAGGACAGTGCCTGCAGCAAAGTAGGAACAGGACTGAAGATGCTGCATGAGATTTCTTTCAGAGAATATAGACAGACTTGAATGCAACTGGTAGGTTACCAAACTTTCTCCAAATCAAAGTGAACTGAACTGTGGAAGGATGTAGAACTTTCGGGAACTTCCTGCCATATGCTGTACATCCATCCATCTGCTTAATCCTCACTAGGGTCACAGGGGGGCTGGAGTCTTTCCCAGCTGACTCAGGGTGAAGGCAGGGGACACCCTGGACAGGTCACCAATCTATCACAGGGCTACACTTAGAGACAGACAACCAAGTACACTCACATTCACACCTACGGACAATTTAGAATCACCAATTTATCTCAACATGTTTTTGGACTGTGGGAGGAAGCTGGTGAATCTGGAGAGAACCCACACTGCACGGGGAGAACATGCAAACTCCACGCATAAAGATCCCGGGCGTCCTAACCAGGACACGAACCGGGGATCTTCTAGCTGCAAGGCAACACTGCTAACCACCGAGCCATCGTGCAGGCCCCACGCTGGAAATATAGATTTGAAAAAGTTGTCATTTTAAATAAACTAACAGACAAAAACGGCAAACCCCTAAATCACTGGATTATTTCTTAGATAGAGGAACATCTGTCTCAATAATAAACGTACACAAAAGTAATGGTAACTGCATGAAAGATGACAAAATTGCTGTGGTGCCTAAAAATTTTAAATAATAATGCCAGCATGCAGTCTATGTTCTGTTAAATGCGATCGGCCATTCAGTAACTTAGCACAGTGTGCATCGCCAAAAGGCCCAATCAGACAAGTTTTGAAAACCGGTTTACTGTATATGTGCTTTACTTGTCATTGAACATCTCTTTCTGTATACTACTACTCTTTCTGACAGCTGTCTTTTTTTCAAGGTCATCAAATCTATGGCTGAGTGTTTTAATCTTGAAACTGTAGTATACTGATGAAAGTCTCAAAAACATAGATTCAGACTTCCAGGGTTTTATACGTACAAAACTACAGAATTAATCCTGTCAGCTTTCAGGGTTGAACTTTCTGTGTCATTATTCTTCCTCGGATTTCCAGTTCAAACATGTATGACTGAATTTAAATATTACAACTGGTAATGTAGAGAGGCTTTACAGTGTTTGAGCAGAGCTGGAGGTGAGCTGGTGTGCTTCAGCTGTGGCGAGTCAGGATGGATGTGCGGAGAAAGAAGCAGGGTCCTCATAGATCCATACACTGTAGAGAAAGCAACAGTGTAGAGTTACATCTAAGCCATATTAAAGCAAGAAGGGATTATTTTCATGAAAACAACTTCACAATATGTAGCACAGAGATGGGTTTTCAGGGGTTAATCAATGAGAGGGACCTAAAGTCTACACAACATGGAGTCATTCTGTATTACAGGGAAACATGCACTGCAGTGCATATACTCTATGGAGCGCACTTCTTCATTTAGGCTTCTGTAATAAAGCAGTAATTAAAAAATAACACATTTGGTTTAACTCGGTGTAACTTAACTATTCATGTAGAGACTTTTTAGGAAGCAAAGGCCACGCTGAAGCTTTGAAGTCAAAGAATAAATGCAGAAAAGGTTACATTAATACGAAAATGCTGACTTGTCAAACAGGTTGTGTCTTTACAGTAAGAAATATGCATGAATTTAGGATGAGTCTGGAGACTTCTCCTGGGCTCATTCATTCAGTGTGAAATAAAGGCATGTGCTCTTTTGGTGCAAAAAAAAAAGGCATAAACCATATTTTTAACCATCACGAGAAAACAATTCTTCAATGTTGTATGTTTGAGGGGTGTACAAAAGACAGGATTGGGTATTTAATTTAGTGAATGTTTGAAGAAGCAAGTTCCACCAAGTTTTTTCAAGTTAGTTTCAGTGTGAACCCGCCTGGTCTGCTGCACTTCAAGCTTCTCCTTTTTTAAATGCTGCAAACTGATTAAAACATATCTTGCATTAAAGGTAACTGTTGAACATAATCCAAATTCAGTTTTTACAGCTAAACCCATAAGAGCAGAAGGCACAAGTTTAGGGTTGCTGCATAGCTCCATCCAGAACTTTTCTCTTTTTTTTTCGTCTTTTAAATGCATGTGCTCAGCCAGTCTGCCTTCTACTTTATCCACCAATGCAGCTGCACGTTTGTCTGCTTTATTATTTTTTTTATTATTTGCATCCCCTCATCCTCACCCGCTGCCACCAGCAGCACCAGCACCGTCACTTCGCAGGCAAACGAGCCGTTTCTGCCCGACATTATCTTCATCCAGACTCCGCTGGAAAGGAGGCTGAAATGACGGATGCAGCCATGGAGGAGATACTCGGGGACAGTTTATTTACATCCGAAGAGGCTCTGTAAGTTTAGAGGGAAGCCGATGCGTGTGTCTCCCTCTTTACTTTCGCCGACCCCCTCCTCCTCCGCTGGCAGAAATTTATAAAGAACAAAAAATCCGACGAGGGAGGGAGGGAGGAGGGGGGTTGATATACGCCGAGGCTGAAATCGAGAGGCGAACCCAGGGAAAGAGGAGTAATTTGTACACGGGACTTTCCCCCTCTTAGTCCCCCAAAAGGAGGGGGAAAAGTCGCAATATTGGAAACGAAAAGGAATGAGCTTCTAAGGGCGTGAAAACGTCTGCAATTGTGGATACTTTATATATTTTTATTTCGAAAAAATATGGCCGAGAACGTTCTGGACTCTGGCCCGCCTTCAGCCAAGAGGCCTAAACTCTCCTCTCCGGCACTTTCCGCCTCCGCCAGCGATGGAAACGGTAAGTATTCTTTAACGATATCATTTGTTACGGTGTTATTCGTTAAGTTTGTCATTTTCCAGCGGCTTGTGTTGACTTGAAAGGGGACGAAGACGCGGGATTACTCTTCTGTTTTTGTCGTAGCTTGCTAACGTTAGCGTGCTAGCAGCGAGTGTGTGTGTGTCGGACGTGAAGGAAGGGCTCCACAGCTAGCTCGCATGCTAACAGCCATTTTAGCCGGAGGTAGCCGCGTTAGCCACTCGGCTAACGCTAGGCTAGCCAAGTGAATGCGGGTCCACAACTGACGGTCCCGTGTCTAATGGCTACTTTAGCCGGGCTGATTAAAAGCCCAATGCCAAGCCAACTTGTAATAAAGTTTTTGGCGTCTTACAGATGTGTCAAATTGACAGTCGTCTACAAATTCTCCCTTTCTGCATTTGAGTTTTTCAGGCTTCTAATGTCTAAAACAATCTTGTTTTGCCCCATCATAACTCGGACCCTTTCCTCTCTATCGTTAGCTACCTTTAATAATGTTAGCGAAAGCACAGGTTGCCGATGGTGGTGCTGCTAGCCTGGTGGGAGAGCTAAATTTAGGCCCACGGGTCCGACTGATTGTTAAGCTCAAATTGCCATTGTTGGTGTGTTTTTTTGTGGATGGCGTGTGGCAGCAGCTGGAATAGTGGCCTTACAACAAAACTGTGGAGCATGGACAGCGCCATGCCCTGCCACTGCGTACGAACCAGGCAGTCAAGTTAGCAAGCAAATACTGCTCCAAGCACGAAATAGTCTTCCAGATTTCATCACTTAATCATACACTCAATCATTTTACCACGAACAGCTGCATCTGAGGCTGTCTGCTCGGCATTAGGCTGTGAGTGGTAAAGGCAACAAGGTACTTTTACGGTTAAACCGTCCAGACGTTGCACACATTTTCTTTACCTTGCATGATATCATTGGAGGATCAATGCAGTGCTGTCGAGAAAACCATCGGTATATGAGGGCGCGATTTATAATAAAAAAAATATTATTCTCGATGATTAGTTATTACATTGCTGTGCAGCATTTATTTGCTTGCCAGAGTTAGTATGAAAAATAAAAGCATACAAAGAGGAATAAGTGCAACTCCATTTCATACCATCACTTGCACCTTCAGAGAGCAGACAGTTAAGCTTGCTGCAGATGACTTTAATTTGTTATTTTAGAAAATATGTTTTTTTGGTTATAGTAAAATGACAGGTTTTTGATACAAAAAACATCTTACTGTCTCCAACCTTTAGGCCAAACCCTCAAAATCTAAAAATTGTAGTCATTTATAGTCATGCAAGATCAAGAAAAGAAACTATTTCTACCATGTGAGTGCATTAAATCAGCAAATGTTTTGCATGTTTTCCTCAACTATGCCTTAAATAATTGTTTGAAGATTGAAATAGTTGCTGGTTACATTTCTGCTCGATGATCTACTCAGTTCACATCTCTACCTGCTACCAAAAAAGTACTCAGGTTTTAGTTCTATGAAAGGGAATGTGACCCATTTCACTTTTGAGATCTGTTGCAAACTTAAAAAATGCCTTGAACAGCAATTGATGTCTAATTGTCGACGAGATGAATTAGACAGGAAGTGGTATCTTACTGTTTAAAAAAAAAAAAAACAGATTTATGAAAGAGTAGAAATCGGGACAATATTACATTTAGTACTTTGAGAGATTAGGAGGGTTGTGCTCTTTCATCTTGATGTCCGTTATGTATCTTTCGTAATTGCCTGATCTGTGTGCTGCTGAAGTAACTACAAATAAACAAACACAGCGAGTGTGCATGTGTACCGTTTTGGCTCTATTTTGTGGCATTACTTCTGTGAAGTGGTCCGTTTGTCACCTTGTTTGTATAATACTTGTCTATGCAATGCGGTGTATCCCTTCACTGGTCAGACATTGTCTTTGCAAGAGGGCCACGTTGGCATGTGTTTTTTTGCGTATTTGCTTGTGCATAAAAGTGCACACACAAGTTCTTCTGAGAATCACCTCTAGTCTTGTGCTCATTGTGTTGTGCTTGATGACGTGTTATTAATTTCTGGTGGGAGAAAATTGGTCATACCCCCAAACAGCTTTTTATCACATTTTGATGTGAAGCATTCACTTGCATTTTCACTCAATCATGCTGAAAAATAAAGGATTATACCAGCTTAACATCGCTGTGGCCCTTTTTGTTCTCCTCGCGCCCTTTCCCTGTTTTGTCTCTCATCTCATTGTCTCCTCCCTTCTAAACTTGGCATTTCTTTTTCATTTCAGATTTCAGCTCACTGTTTGACTTGGAGCATGACCTCCCAGATGAGCTCATCAACGCAAATGATCCAGGTCTGGTCAATGGTGGGGACCTTAATCAGTTGCACACCACTCTGGGAGGTGGACCTGCAGGGTTGGGTCCCGGAGGGGGCAATGGAGGAGCAGGAGGAATGGGTCTTGGGCTTGGTCCTGGAGGGGGTCCTGGGGGTGTTGGTGGAGGCCAGGACGCAGTGGCCAAGCACAAACAGCTGTCCGAGCTTTTGCGTTCAGGGGCGACCACATCGACTCAACAGGGGCACCAAGGAGCCATGGGCAGCCCTGGAGGCCCCACTGCCATGGGGCAACACTTGGCGAACATGAAGGCGTCCCCTGGTCAAGGGCCTCAGCAGATGATGGGCCAGGGGCAACAGCAGCACCTTTCCCCGCAGCAGCAGGCTAACATGATGCAGCAGCAACAGAATGCTGCAGCTGGAATGATGGGTGGAATGAACAGGGGCATGATGGGAGCGCAGCAGAAAGGCAATAATGGACAGCAGCAGCCAGGCATGATTGGGAACCAGGTGATGAATGGCTCCCCCAGGATGGGGTTTGGTAATCAGGGGATGGCCGGAAGCAGCAACCTGTTGGCTGAGACCCTACAGCAGCAGGGAGCTGGGGGCCAGGGCGGGATGAGAGGACAGCAACCTGGAGCTCTGAACAAGGTAGGGACTCTTTCCGTTCTAGAAATGTTGTTCTTTTAACAGATATGGTGTGACATATAAGTAACCATTTTATTTTTTATTTTTTTTAAATGGGCAGAATTTTTGTGGAACAAGGTTTTAAATGTGATATCAAAAGTTTTGAGACAAAAATATCAACAATTGCAGTATGCATAAATATATAATGATCAAAGCTATTTTTATTTGTATTTCAATGATTAGTAAGCACTGCTGATGACCAAATTTTATGTGCAAAGCTTCACAAATGACATTTGCAGTTGTTTTTCCTTTAAAGCTTAAATTGCTTTCCTGTTGTCTCTAGTTTGGTTCTGCACTTTGATACCAAAGTAGGGCTTTGGTCCATGACTGTAACTCTGTATTTTAACAACCACGAGTGATGCACAGCACGGTTATGTTTGTAGTCAAAGTGGTAGAAAACGGCTCTGTTTGTGTGATTGACAGTCCCACGGGAGTGACAGTAAAACGTTGCAGTGGCAGGCTGCTGCTGCTGCTGACTGAACGTGGTGGAGACACTGATGTTTGATTTAGCCAGAGATCAAACACATTGAGAAGGTTTCCAGGTTAGGTATTGGTAAAGGGGGAAAAAATAAAAGGAAAATGCGGTGGAGCTTGTGCACGTAAATGAAGGAATGAGGAGTAGAGGAAAACGACAGGGTTACTGATGAGGAATAGATCAGTGATCTAAATTGTCCAATTCCGTGTGTAGAGAGAAAATGGGCTTTGCTGTTACAAACTGCTGTTGATGTTGGCATATGCTTTCGATGATCTTCTTGGCTTGCATATGTTTTAGATGATTTTGTACTGACTTAATTAGAAGAAAAACATTTTCCCTCCTCAGTAGTGGGAGACTTAATTGTTTTTGAGGAACAGGAAGTGTAAGGCATTAAAACAGACATATTTTAATGTTTTTTCTTTGGGAGGTAAAAATATCCCTTTAACTTTGACTTTGATGAAGTTTATGGCGTAAAGAAGTATCCACAAGTCCTTCTCATTCAGCAGCAAAAAGATGAGATGTTTCAGATGCACTGGAAGATTATGTTGTGAAGTATCAGAGCAAGAAATCCTGGTATGTGTAGGGCTCAAATACAGTCACTACATCTCACATCACTGAAGAGTTGTTCACTGAAAGGAAACTTACTTTCATTCTAAGTTTTCTTTCCCTGCCTCTTGTGTCCTACATCACTTTGTTTTTGCTCCTCATACTGCTTAAACTTTTTCTAAGATGTAAAAAATTTCTCCTTAATTGAATTTTCTCCTGTTAGATGGGGATGATGGGGAACCCAGGGGGCCCTTTTGGAGGTCCATATGGAGGTCAGGGGAATCAAGGTCTAGGAGGCGCAGGGCTGGGCCCTCAGCTCCAGAACAAAGGTCCCATGGCCAACAGCCTGGCCCAGTTCAGTGTGGACAAGAAGAACCAGCCCATGCAAGGAATGGGTGCCATGGTAAGGACTACAAACTGACTGAGAAAATGCTTCTGCCAAATCTGTTGTGCTGTAATACTTGTTGGGAGTTCTGAGGCAGATTTGAGTATAACCTCAAAAACTACTTTACCTTTTAATACCACACCACTACTTTTTCAATGCTCCACTTACTGCTATTAACACAACCATTTTCTTTTTATTCCTCACCTCCTCTCCCCCTCTTTCTGCCTGTCTTCTCTCTCTCCTCTCTCATCCATCCTATCTTTTCTTACTTCCTCCCACTTTACTTCCAGGGTGCCCAGCAGTCACAGACAGGCGTGGGTGGCCCCTCAGGTGCACCTGTGGGAGGAGCACCGGGGATGGTGCCCAGTGCTCAGGCAGGTCTGGTGGGGCCTGGTACCCAGGTTTCTGCAGCATCTGCTGCAGCTGGAGCACCACCCACAGCTGACCCTGAAAAGCGCAAGCTAATCCAGCAGCAACTGGTACTCCTGCTTCATGCACACAAGTGCCAGCGGCGGGAGCAGGCCAACGGTGAAGTCCGGCAGTGCAACCTGCCCCACTGCCGCACTATGAAGAATGTCCTCAACCACATGACTCACTGCCAGGCTGGCAAGTCCTGTCAGGGTGAGTAGAAGGGATGCTGCATGCTCCTGGACTCAGTCGATAGCTATGATGTATCCCTGTATTTGTCAAGCAGGCTGGTTTTTACTGCTAAGCTGGCTGTGTTCCTCCTAATGAAAGTACGTCACGCATTGGAACGGTGTAGCGCTTAGGCACGTGGCACAAGAGCCATAAACTATGTCATAGTTTGGCGACACAGACAGTACATGTTAGATGACTTTTGGTTTGGAATTTTTGGTTTGATACTTAAAAAGATAAAACAACCCCATCCTTATTCTTTAATTTAACTTTCTGGTTCATGTCTGTTGTAGATTGTGCGTCTCTTTTTAAATACCAGTCAAAGATCTCTAATTTCACATCACCTTTTTCCCCTTAACCTCACTTTGTTTCATCCTTTTTGTCTATGCCTCTTTCCTCACCCTCGTATGTGTGTTTCCTGACTCTCCCTATCTTTTTGCTCTCTTTCATCCTCAGTTGCTCATTGTGCATCATCAAGGCAGATCATCTCCCATTGGAAGAACTGCACGCGGCACGATTGTCCCGTCTGCCTGCCACTGAAGAATGCTGGGGACAAGAGGAACCCGCAGTGTGAGTGTCTGTATCTGACCAAAAACAGTATACCTTTACATTTTTTTTGTTTACACTGTATATCATAAAGATATTATGTCATAGGTTTGCCATTATCAGTGTCACTCATTTTATGAGATTTAGCAACTATACTGATAGAAATATATTGCTAATAATATTTTGTTGCTGATACTGTCCAGCCATAAATGGTGCTGGGTTGAGAACTGCTAATAAACATGGCAGTTTCAGTGAGCTTAAGTGTACAGAATAATTTACGTAAACATTTAATCACAGCATTTTCTTGATCATGTTTTGTGTATTCTTTTAAACAAATCAGATGTATGACTAATCTTCTTTTGTTTGTCCCCACAGCTCTGCTTGGCGGGGCTGGTGCAGGTCTGGGCAGTTCTCTTGGGGCAGTCCCTGGTGGCCAACCAAGTGCTCCCAACCTCAACCCGCCGAGCCAGATCGACCCCAGCTCTATAGAAAGAGCATATGCTGCCCTGGGCCTCACCTATCAGGGGAACCAGATCCAGGCTCCGACTGCCCAGCCTAACATGCCCAACCAAGGCCTTCAGGGGCAGGCTGGCATGAGGCCTTTGAATCCAATTGGTGAGTTAACTTGATGTTTACTTGCTTCCCTTCTCAGGTATTTTCAGTAAAGAGATATACTAGTCTTTGTTTCTGACACTCAAAGCTAAGATTTTATTTTATTTTTTTGCAGAGGCCAGACACAAGCTTAGAAAGGCCTTCAGCTTTTAGAATTAGAGAATCACTTTAAGAAGTGGACACTTCAAGTGGCATTTCAATAGTTGCTTATTGCCAGCAGGAGCTATGAAAAGAACCATACAAATGTACAATTTAGATGGCTTCCAGTAAAAATGGAAGAGCCTCATGAGTACAGTCTAATCGACATCTGAAGAAGTGTGTTTCATGCCATGTAGCTTGATGACATTCCCAGGAAAAAAGCTTGTTGACTGTGTTACTATTGCTGGGCCAGCACAGTGGATATAGATATATTTTTCCATTGTTTCCGTGTGTAGGTGTAAATCCAATGGGAGTCAATGGAGGGGTGGGTGCTCCCCCTCAGAGCCAGCAAAGCAGTCTACTGCAGGATACCATGATGCATCTCAATGTGAACAGCCAAGGGTAAGAAGGAACACAAACACAATAAGAAGCCACTTGTCAAAATCCTTGATAAGAAGCACTGCTAATGGGTTTTCACTATTTTGGTCAGTTGTACGCTACACCATGCCACGCATTTATTTTTAAGAAGTCCTTAAAACGACACCTTCCTTGTCTGTTACAGTCTGATGAATGATGCTGGTGGGGTTGGTTCCATGCCCACAGCAGCCCCTCCTTCTGCCACAGGCATGAGGAAAGGCTGGCATGAGGACATCACACAGGACCTACGAAACCACTTGGTACACAAGCTGTAAGTATTAAAGAGGAACTCCATGCCAAAGTATTTGCATACATACATGCATGTTCTTGTTGCTTCCCCCAGTTTTTTGCCCCAACATAAAATACATATGTTTAAAAATTCCTCAAGACTGTTCTTTTTAAATTGGTATGCTTTGATACTAAAGTTAAGTCAAGTTGTCTAACTGTGGCCCCAGTTGTTGCCTCTCACACATACCTGCTTGTAGCCTTCACAAGCACTAGTGTAGAGGCTGTTTCATAAATGAACAACACATACATGACTTATGTGCTATATTCAGGATTTAACAAGATGGCAAGTGCAGCGAAGCAGTAACATTAACACAATAAATAGTAAAGATATGACTATGTATTTACTCTTCTTGAAGGCACTTGCACAGACAGTAGGAGAGCCTGTGGTAGTAAAACTGTTCCAGCAACACAGATACCCACACAGAAACAGTCCCAAAAGGGTTATGATTATCCACGCTAATAATATACTGTGTTTCTTCTGTATTTAGACTGAGACAGGAGTTAAAAATTAGATAATTTTAACCTTTTGCTTTCTTTCTCCTTTTGCCCACCTGCCCACAGTGTCCAGGCCATCTTTCCGACTCCAGATCCTGCTGCTCTCAAGGACCGTCGAATGGAGAACCTGGTGGCCTATGCACGAAAAGTTGAGGGAGACATGTATGAGTCTGCCAACAGTAGAGTAAGTTGCTCTCTCTTTTAACTGCGTTACTCAGAAAAAAGATGAGGAACTTGCTGGAAAGTTTTAAACTCAGTGTCCTTCATAGATCTGTCAGAAAATGTTACAAATTTCACACATCATATCACATTGCAGGGTGTGGCTGCAAATGTAGAACTTACGACACTGATGAAATACTGAATTAATTGATGCTTAGTAACTTGTCTTTTTTTGTTAGTTGTCCAAAGTTATCCAAAAATACTGTTGTAGTTGTATTTGAAAAGATGTTTTTTCTCTTTTTGTTCTAATTATCTTTGAGACATGCTACAATTTTCATTCCCTTTACCTGTTTTTGGCAGGCTGAGTACTATCACTTGCTAGCAGAGAAGATCTATAAGATCCAGAAGGAACTGGAGGAGAAGAGGAGGACCCGGCTCCAGAAGCAGGGTCTGGGCCTCGGGCCTGCTGGCATGGGTCAGCCCCCTACTGGACTGCCTCCAAGTGAGTGGACATGTAGCATATGTAGACTTGAATAAACTAATGTTACATTGGGCTGCATGCATTCATGTGGATGACTATTTAGTCTGACAGAATGTGACATTTTAGCATTGTTTTGTTTGCCGTACCTTATACAGTTGATTTAATGCAAACTGCAATGTGTGACTGCAGATTTGTCACTGCAGTACCATTCGTATTGTACTACGTTGATGTCGTGCGTTGTAGATTCCTGTCTGATTGTAATGACCTGTCAGTTTGCTTCACAGTTCATTTCATTATGCAAGATTTTCCAAATATAGTATCTTAGTCACCTTTGGGATACGGGTTATTTTACGAGTTGGTAAAGATCATACACACATCCTTCATGCTCTATACCACAGGGCTTTTGAAAAATAAATGGAACTGCATTTCCTGCTGTGTCTGGTCAGTGTTTTGCTGCCTCATTAGTCCAAATGCTGCTGATCTTTCCTGACCAAACAAACATTAAAAAAAAAAAAAAAAAAAAGATGAAACATTCAAGAGTTTGTACGAACCCCCCATGTTCATATAGGAAATTTTACATCACCATGTCTTCTTTGCACAGACAACAGTTTGACTGTCTTTTTCTCCTGCCCCTGTTTTTTACAGACGGCCCCCTCTCTGACCCATCAATGGTGCGACCAGCTGGACCAAATCAGATAGGCAGCAGGATGCAAGGCCCAGGTAAAAATTTTATCAGTTTATGGTAAACTACAAAATTTACACATTGTATTTGTTGTATCAGCCCAAATGTTGGCTTCTATCAGAGAGAATCAAACATATTTTCATGGGAGTGGCTTATGAGTATCAGACTATAGACTGTTACTTTGCCCCAGTGTAGACGCAGTGTTATGTTAAATACGCAACATCATAACTGTGCTATAGCACATTTGTTGGAACTATTTGATAACAAAAAACAAATCTTCTGTAGATTCCACATGAATTGCATCTGTGCTCGATGTCATAACTCTCTGTGTTTTGTCAGGTATGAATCAGTTCAATCAGATGGGGATGCAGAGGTCCACCCCCCCTCTCCCCATGGGACCATCTGGCAACCAGGTCAGTGCTGAACACAGTGCATCGCATGTTTTTTTTGTCTTTTTTTATGCCACACAAGTAAGAATTCACTTCAGTGAAATGTGTCTTCTTATGTAGTGGCTGCAGTATTTTCAGTTAAGAAGTGAAAATATAAAAACACATTTTAAAGTATGGGGAAGCAAATAATCACAAACCAACTTGCAAAAACACCGCTTAAACTAGTCAAACTACTCGACAGGAAAAGTGATTTAGAGTCCTTTGCAAGTAACCTTTTCATGCCCCTAGATGGGAATGGTTGGACCCAGGGTGGGGCAGCCCAACGTCAACCAGCTGCAGAACCAGTATCTGTCCCAGGGACAGTTTCCTGGCTCAGGACCGGGAGTTGGAGCAGCTCAGCCTGGGATGACCCAACCTGGAGCACAGGGAGGCATGGCACAGGTAAGGAGGCCTGCAATTCTTTCTCTTGTTAGTTTGAAATGTTTTAATTGTGGATGTGTGTCAAGATACCTTTTAGTCTTTATTAGGGACATAGGCTAACACTGAAGCACAAACATTAGCTCTGTCCTACACTGTGTCTACAAAAAGAGTTGCATTAGCAGCAGCAGCAGCAGCAGCAGCTAGTGCTTCATTTGTGTGTCTGCTAGGTGTGTATTCGGTCGTTGTGGTGGTATCCGGATATCAATTTTGAGATCCGAGTTCCCCCCTCCCCGGTTCATTATGAAAGTTCACACTGTAAAAATGCATAAAACGTAACTGTAGATATGTAAACAACTTATCCTCCATAGGAATTGTAGGTATATTTTTTCAAAAGCACAAATCATGACGTTAGGGAGCTCCCCCTCTTTATGGGAAGAATAGAGAAACCTGAGTCATGTCATTTTATACATGCTTCATGTTGTTCAGTTGTACCTTTTACTCACTTCGCTTTATACTCACCTTCTATCCTCAGACGCAGATGGGCACTCCTCCCTCTCTTTCGGTTGCTAGTCCTCTAGCGCAGCCAGGTTCAGCCGGTGGTCCCAGTGGGGTCTCTACAGTGGGGCCAATGGGTCCCCAGAGTGTGGGAGGTGGAGGGCCCAACTCAGCTGTCGGAGCCCCGGCTTCCTCAGTGACTCCATCTAACACAAACCAGCAGCCCAACTCCATCCCCCATTTAGTAGCCATGCGTGGAAGCTCGCCCTCCCCTGCTCACAGCCGATCGCCTGCTCACAGCCGGTCCCCTACTCCCCACCAAACACCGCCCAGACTAGCTGGGTCCCAGACGCCACAACCACACACCCCTAATGCACCGCAGCTGGCACCACCTTCAGCTCCTCAGCAGAACCAGCTTGGTCAGGGCCCTGGTTCCAACAAGCCCCTCCAGCAGCAACACATGGGGCCTGCTGGTTCGACCACTCCGTCTCACCCTGGACTGGCCTCCAGCTCAACACCGCACAGTAGTCAGCTGCCACGCACTCCGGTCAGTGTGATTTAACATTATATCTATGTTTTATTTAGATTATGATTGTGACTTTAAATACATATTAAGAAGTGATTCCTTTAGTCCCGTAGCAGTGACTTGTGCCTTTCAGGATTGTTTTCATCTGGTCCTGCACAGTATACTCAATACTGTGGCAAAGTTTTAGGCAGATGGGAAAATGCTGACAATGCTTGAATAATCATTTAAATATAAATTAAAAAAACAAATCCTCCTTGGTACATTGGTGTACAGTTTTCAAGCAGATAGATTGTTCCAAGTTTCTTAGAGAATTTACCACAGTTCTTCTGTAGATTTATTTTACGTCACTGGTTCAGTCCCAGTCTTCACTCCAAGGTCAAAGAAGAAAATTTCCACAAATCTGTGTTAATAGGAATGTGGCAGCACTTTGTGACATGTGCATAATGATGATGACAACATCAAAGCACATTTCATACTATTATGTATTGGGGACTTTTTCCCCAGGTTTTTTTTTTTTTTTTAACTTCACAGGAAAAGTACTTAAAGACCCACTCGTGTAAAAGTTTTTTATTTTTTAAAATTTTTTTTATCTCGCTATCATGTCCATATGCTGTTTTTTGCACACTAGAAGACACATTATGTACAAAATAAGCAGTCAGTGCCATGGTGAAGCATTTCCTCCTTGAAACTGCAGCTTACCAATGACGGTCTCAAAAACACAGACTCAGACTCCTGTGGGTTTGTACGTAACGGACCTAAAGAACGAATCCCGTATCTTTCAACCATCATTGTCTTTGATGATACAAGGCTTTCATTTTCTGTTTTGAAGATATACGTGGCTGAATTATTCTAATATTACAGCTTACCGTTCTGTAGCGGAGCAAATGTCGACCTCGATCAACACAGTCTAAAAGAAGCAATGGTGTAGAGTTGCATCCTGTCTAAGGCAGAAAGGGATCATTTTTATGGAATAAAACTTTCAAATATTTAACTTTGATACACAGTTCAAGTTTGTAGGAATTAACTCAACAACCAGAGAGGTACTGTACGGGAAGCCATATTTGGACTTCATCAGAAACACACCACTATTGAACTTGTAACTTGAGGTGTTTGTTTACCGCTTTTTTCTTCCAGGCTTCCCCTGGTAATTTTGTGTTTTACGTATGAGCTGTGGGTAATTCCCTCAGGCAAAATCTGCAGAAATGCAGACTTGCAGAAGGTGTGCATGGAGGGTTAAGAATGTCTTTAAGAGAGGCCTTATGCACTTGATGGTTTAACAATGGGACAGCCCAAAGCTCTTACGGGCCTAAAAGTCTTCGAGTGTGGACATTGGGATTGGTCCAGTGTCTTCTGTCTCTTCATGTAATCCCATAGTGACTCCATGATCAGTGCTCTGCAGGGATACCATCTGTTGTAGGACTCCTTGTTCTTTATGATCCTGGCTGTATGTTTGAGGTCACTGTCATGCTACAGAATGAATTTTGGGCCAGTGATACCTTCCTGATAACACTGTGTGCTGGATAAGAATTTGCTTTTCTGTCAGAGCCAAGGCTGTAAAATTTTGACTCATCAGTCCAAAGCACCTGTTGCAATTTTACTGACACCCCAGTTGGTGAGTTGCTTGGCTCTGAGACTACATTAGAGGAATGGCGTTGTGGCTGCAAGTCTTCATACAGCTCACTTTTCATCAGTCTTTTCTGGACTGTTGTGGGTGTACCAGCGTCCCACTGATTTCTGTCAGTTTTGAGCTGATGGCTCTGCTGGACATGTTTCAATTTCAACAAGAAAGCCAGCTTGGAAAGTCTGTCGTCTGTTGCACTCAGCAGACAACACCACTGTGTTTCCGGTCCTCAAACCTGCCCATTCTTTGTGTGTGTGCAGAGAAACGCGCTCAGCATATCTTGAAACACCTGTCTGAAACTAAATTTTCTGCTTTTGAGAGAACTTGCTGATGCATTATAACCTCCCTTGTGTTGCTGTTACAAAAGATGCTTGGATAAACTAGACACTTTACAGGACCCAACTTCATAGAATCAGTTTGGCTCAACCTACGTATTATACTTTTGTTTTTAGGTATACGTTATTGTATTTGGAATATGATCTGGTAATTGGTTACTTTGTTCAACAGCAAGCGAGCATCCCACATGAATATTTCACCATTTACAAAATGCTTGTTGGAAACTATGATTGAGACACTGTTGCAGAAGACAACTGTGTTACGACACATTAATCAATACTACCAAGGGATCATGAGACCACACATTTTTACCATTGCCTCTATTATGATTACACTGTGCAACCTGTGCATTTGTTTCTCCCATGTTTTGCCAATTGAGCTCCTTAGGACATTCATGACTTTGGTTTATCTCGTGGTTTAGTTGTTTGCTCCATTTCATGCATCACTGTGTCATATTTACTATTTCCATGCACCTGAGTTTGTTTTTGCATCTCTCTTTAGTTGTCCCAGAAGGGTTCATTCCCAGCAGACAGTCAGGCCTTGACTCCAGCCTCCGTCAGCAGCCTGGACACTTCCTCCCAGCAGCCGCAGTCGGACACCTCAACCGCCAACCTGGACCCCAAGATGGAGGTCAAGCATCAGGATGACGAGGAGGAGAGCGACGCCGGCAGCTGCTCCAAAGGAGGGAAACTCGGCAACCTCAAGACAGAGGAAAAGCCTATAAAATCAGAACTGAAAAAGGAAGAGTGTTCTGGAGAGGGAGGGAAAGGAGTTCCGATGGATACATCGACAACGACGCCGGCAGTGGGTGTAAAAACAGAAGACAGGAAACCAGAGGTGAAGAAAGAGGTGAAAGAGGAAGAGGAGAATTCGGAGGCGGTTACACCCCAGGCTCCAGCGAAGAAGAAGAGTAAGACAAATTTAGGTTCATCCCAGCTGCTGTCACTCTTAAGTATTATTGATCAAATGTGTTAGTTTTCACCAGGTACTTAAAAGAGTGGAAACTAATTTACTAATTTAAAATGAACCCATGCTGATGACTCTGATCTCCATCTTTTTTTCTAGTCTTCAAGCCAGAGGAGCTTCGTCAGGCCCTGATGCCCACACTTGAATCTCTCTACAGACAAGACCCAGAATCTCTGCCCTTCAGGATGCCTGTTGACCCACAACTGCTCTGCATTCCTGTATGTATCCCTGCTGAGGTTTAAGTGTTTTTTTATTCTCTGCCATGCATGTAAACTGCACTCTGACTTGCGTAGTGGCCTCAGCCTGTTTCATCTTTGCTGGAGATGGTGACAAATGTACCATCTCTTCATTGTAGCGACTTCTGTTGCTGCACTTGTCTAATTAAGTCAAACAAACGATGACAGTAGTTTTAACTGCTCATTTTTGACTCACATGTTGTGATGTTCCAGGACTACTTTGACATTGTGAAGAACCCCATGGACTTGTCAACTATCAAGCGAAAGCTGGACACAGGTTAGTATTTGCTACTATATATTGCAAACTGGTCATTCTTGGTGAACTTAATGGACTAGAACAAACTTAGATGTGGGAAGGTTGGTAGGTAAATTTGTGCACATATACAGAATAAAACCTGTTTTTTCTTTCATATGATTTAAAGGTTTAAATTTTCTTCATGTCTTTTTTTTTTTTTTTACATGTCTTTACATGTTTTTTACATGCTACTTGCTGGTCCTATCGTCTTTTTATGGGAGATACTGTAATAAGCAAGATGTCTTTAGTTTGCAAACTCTTTTTGCAACAAGCTTCATCCCACGGTTTGTGCTTTGGTGGCAGGTCAATATCAGGATCCCTGGCAGTATGTGGATGACATCTGGCTGATGTTCAACAATGCCTGGCTGTACAATCGCAAGACATCAAGAGTCTACAAGTACTGCTCCAAGCTGGCCGAGGTTTTCGAGCAGGAGATTGACCCCGTGATGCAGAGCCTCGGCTACTGTTGTGGGAGGAAGGTGAGACAAAGTGCTGCATAATTGGCTGAATGGAGATGGGGATGGGTATCAAGGACTGGTCCTAAATTGGTAACAGTTATCTTGAAAGCATTTGATGCTACTATTGGAATCATTCATTTCATTACTGTTCAGCATTTTTTCTGTGTGTCTAAACTTTTGCTAATGATGGCATGCTCAGTATTGTGCCACGGGTTATAACACCAAGTGTAACAATGCTAACGCTACATCAAGAGTTTCATGCAATGGTAGGAATACTGGCAAACTAAGATGTAAATATAGCTTCTCTGTTTTCAAATTTTCTGAAGAAAGTGGCCAAAAATATTGTGACCAGTCAACTGCTGTTAAAGAGATCCTTCATTAGCAGATAAAACAACTTCACAATCTCTAAATTTACAAAGTTACAATGACAACTGAAGCTTAAGCTCAACGTTAAGAACCTTTGCTCTGACACGTATATATGACATTTACATATTTATCAAACACTTCCTGACATCTGTTGAGGTGCCTGTTTTGAAGCGTCTAAATGACCTGCACACACATACTGACTCACTGCTCCTAACAAATGGGCCTCAGTCCGGAGTTTGTTTATCCTGTGCCAAGCATGTGAGATCGGCGGGCAGTCATTGGAAGATCTCTCACAAAAACAACCCTTGATCAAATGTTCAAATGTCAATTTCTCTCCCTGAACAACAATTAACAGCAAACCTTGATCACTTTGTTTGTTACAGAAAGTAAGTGGATAAAGGGCACATTGATTACTGGTGTGCTTGGTTGTAAATTTAATACCTTAAATTCAGGAACCATATCTATCAGGGTGCTGATTGTATCAATACAGATAAGGAGAGTGGAGGTGGATAGTCCTGGTTGGTCAGTAAGGCTGTAAAACTTTCCTACAGGCAGAGCAGCAGAGAAAAGACTGTTTTGTTTTCCTGCTTCAAAATCTTTAGAAGTTTGAATCCAAGGGAATAGCTGTTCTTTTTGGTACTGCATGGCCTGTGACTCTTATCAGCAGGTGAACAGAGCCATCTTTCAGAACGTTGTGTGTAAGACTATACCAGTTTATGAGGTGTGCTTTGAAGTTATGTCTATACGAGGAGTATGTCTGTATAAGCTGGTGTGTCTGAATGGTTTGTGTATGTTTCAGATGCAGAAATTAACTCTGCTCATTCACATCTGAAAATGGAAGCAGTGAAGTGGGTTCATAGCTAAATTTGGCCTTGGGCATACCACCGCGATATCACATTTCAGCTCTCATTAGACTCTGCTATTTTTGGTTTTGCAGACAAATAACAAAACTGATTGGCCCTTATTATGAAAGGCCAGCTGAAGGGTTCATTTCTGACAATGAGGCAAAGTAGCACTTGACATTAGCTGCACTGACTTTTTTTTTTTCTTTCAAAAATTAAGCAAACACTGCAGTTCAAGTCCCCTGTCACCATTTTCCACCAAATCAGTCGTGTTCTGTGAACTAGTTTTGTTCAGGATTCTTGCAGTGTTGGTGCTATGTGGGGAACCAGCCTGTGTTTAGAGCAGAAACATTGCAATGAAAGATGCTTTCGATGGATCAAGGGAGGGCGTAGAACAGTGCGCAAATGATGTAGACAGTATCTGCAAGATGACGGGTTACAGTGATGACCAGCGAGCTTTTTGTTTCGTTAATACAGAGGTTTTTATCCAAAAATCTAGCATTGATTAAACAAAAAATGCTTCTGTCTTCACCCTCTCTTTCCAACCTGTACAATATGACACACACACTGATAATGTTACAGTTCCAACTTAGGATCGAGGAAAACCTTTCACGTCTGAACCAATTTATTTTTGGTTGAAATTCTCTAAATGGTTCGAAATTAGGCAAAACTGAAACGAACCAATTAATCAATTTCAAATCGCAATTGGCTGTTTTCTCCAAATGGTTATGCCCTAATCTGCACCCATTCCATATGACTGCTTAAGGGCTGTGAGGGAGTTTTTACATGTGGAATATTTGTGTATGTTGATTTAACACTGTCGTTGTTAATGACATTTACCATGACAACAGGAGAGAGATTTAGCCTGCAAAGTGTGTATTCCTTGATCAGCAGAAGACGATGTCACTAAAGTTGCAATTGTTGATGGTCAAGAGATTAATATGTTTTTTTTTTGTTTCTTTCAATCAGCTGGAGTTCTCTCCTCAGACACTGTGCTGCTACGGAAAGCAGCTGTGCACTATTCCCCGAGATGCTGCTTACTTCAGCTACCAGAACAGGTATGAAAGGAAGGAAACGCAATGTAGAGTAAAGGGAAGATGATGAATGCATGGGTTAACAGAAGAGATTTTATAGAAACTATTTAACGGACCAAACGTACACGTTGAACTGAACTGTATTCCAAGAGCATGAGGGAGATACCAACTGTTTTATCGAAATGTTGATTACATTTTGTTTCCCTAAACACTTCCCTTCACTTCATGTTCCCCGTTTTTTGTTTTTTTATACCTCCATGTGGTGCCTAATGCACTGGCATTTTAACAGTCTGTCCTCTTATCACATTCTTTAAGTTGTAGAAACAACTCTTTAAATAGTCGCCCAGCACAGAATGTTTGAAACACTATTCCTAAGTGTTTACAGGCAAAGCGGAGAAAATGTCTAATTTCTCTGGACCTGAGACTTTACATAAGATCATCTTCTGAACTCTGCACAGTAAACGTGCGTTTTCTTTGCGGATGAAGCAGCAATAATGCTTTAATTTTCTCGCTGCTCTTTCCACACGGTGGCATTAAGCTTTTCCCGTTATACCCGTCTTGGTTTTTTTTTTTTTTTTTGTACATGCATGAAAACCTTACTGGAATGTGAAAGGACTGACTGTAAAATGAACTGCTTGAACGAACAGCTGAGCAGTTGTCTGTGCTTACTTGTTCATCTTTGTTCAGTGTTTGTATTGCGTCCTGTGCTATAACTTCCTGCTCCCGTTTGGCGCCTGTTGATTCTGCTCCTGCTCTGTTAGCTGTGATTGGTGGTGGTTGTTGCTCATCCTCTCAAATTGCTAATCTGTGCTTTGCCTCGGCTCTCTGCTGTGTGTTGTCTCGTCTTGTTCCGGGTCTGTATGACTTGTCCGTCCTCCCTTCCAATGGCTGTGATATCAACATTGGCTTGCTTTTTGCCTTGACCAACCATGCACCTCCCAACCCATCCCCATTCCCTCACCCCCTCAAAAATCATGACTGGCTGTTGCGATGACGACTTCCCGCTGTCCTGCGCTCCTCCTTCCTGCACCTTCCCGCTTGCTCCGCTTGTGGCACCCTGCCTTGCCCATGTCCTGTACCGTTTGGTGACTGCCCTCCCGTGCGCTGTCTGTGATTGACTGTGCTGTGGGGAACGGTGTAGTTCACCAAAATTTGGGCTTCTTGCTGACAGGTACCACTTCTGCGAGAAGTGTTTCAACGAGATCCAGGGAGAGACGGTTTCCCTGGGTGACGACCCCACGCAGCCACAGACGTGAGTATTCGTCCATTTGTTTAGCAACCTTTAAAACTTTTTTTCAAACTGTTCATCCTGGCATTTTTTCATAACTTAACCTGAGTCACTTTGAGCAGTCACTACTTATAATATTGACTACATGCTTTTTAATGATGTAGCCGTTACTCAGCAGTCCTTCCTCTGCCTTTAGTCTCTGCCTCTCCCAATTGTTTTTAATTCACGTATTGTTTTGTCAAAAGAAACCGTGTTGGCATCTTAATTTTTACACTGTTCTACTTGCTGTATCTTCACTGTATTGTCTTGTTGTTCTACGTGTTGTCATACTTTCTCTGTAATAATTTCAGATCAATTAACAAGGAACAGTTTGAGAAGAAGAAGAATGACACACTGGACCCTGAACTGTAAGTCAGGTGTAATATCCTAGAATTGTGGGGAAAGAAACATTAAAACAAAATCATTTGAAGGACTACAGATGTAATTACATCTTCACTTCTGTTCCTGTTTTCAGGCTTGTTGAATGTATGGACTGTGGGCGCAGGATGCATCAGATTTGTGTCTTACACAATGAAACAATCTGGCCATCAGGGTGAGTGGCTTTTTTTTTTTTTCCAGTTCAAAGTTTTGTTGGCATTTGTTAAGTTTTTTTCTTCATGTAATTCAACCGGTTAAACTTGTTTTGTTTTTTTTTCTATTGTGTTCCACAGTTTTGTATGTGATGGCTGCTTAAAGAAGACAAATAAGACAAGAAAAGAGAACAAGTATTCTGCCAAAAGTAAGTAGCAATGCTTCTATCCACATTTGCTCTCCCTTTTCATACAGAATAATTGTGTGCTCCTGCTTTAACCTGTTCATACAAAATCTGCTTGCGGTATTGTAATGGGTGAGTTTAGCTCTCATCTGGTTGCTCCATATGCATCAGTGTTTCCTTGGTCAAACATTGTGCAAAACCAATGAAGTTTAGTTTAACTCTCTCATGCTGGCTAACTTACTCTTCAGAAGCACACCTAAATACAGATTTGAAATAAACCAAATTCAGATTTTGCATCGTTGCAGGTTTAAGTCGTCTTCTCGAGGCTGTTTTCACAGTTGTTGACTAACTGTCACACAGGGTTACCACAGACGAAGTTGGGCTGTTTTCTGGAGTCGAGGGTGAATGACTTTTTGAAGCGTCAGTCCCACCCGGAGTCTGGAGAGGTCTTCATTCGAGTGGTCCACGTCTCCGACAAAGTGGTGGAGGTCAAACCAGGCATGAAGTCCAGGTAGAAAACCAAACACACACACACAGTCTTCCCATTCAGAGCTGCAGATCCAGCCTAGTTTGCTTACAACAGCGTTCGTCTGTCAAAAGGATAAAGAGGTTTTAGAAATTGCAACTAAATGGAACCTTGCAGCTTGGTCTAAACACTGCTAGGAATTTAGTGTTCATGTCAGAGAAGAAATGTTGGTATTCAGAGTCAAATCATGTATTTTACTGTAAAAAAAACAAACTAAAAACAGTTTAAACGGCAGCTTTTCTACTTTTAGAAATTGTTTTTGTTAAATTTCACATTCTCTATGTTTACTCTTTTTTGTCTCCAGATTTGTGGACAGCGGAGAGATGTCAGAGTCTTTTCCATACAGGACAAAAGCCCTTTTTGCATTTGAGGACATTGACGGAGCAGACGTCTGCTTCTTCGGTATGCATGTTCAGGAGTACGGATCTGACTGCCCTCAGCCCAATCAGAGGTAAAGTTATCACCGTAATAGAAACATTATTTTTACCAAATGCCTTTTTCCTACTCTTGGAAAATATAATTTTTAAAAGGTTGTATTATAAATTCATTACTATGCAGTTTTGATAAATTAATATTTCCTGCTTCTCTTGCTCAGGCGAGTATACATCTCCTACCTGGACAGCGTGCACTTCTTTCGGCCCCGCTCTCTAAGAACAGCAGTTTACCATGAAATCCTCATTGGCTACTTGGAGTATGTCAAGAAATTAGGGTGAGCACTGTTGCAAGAAGGAAAACTTTTATTTTGGTTGTGATTATGTGAATGCTTATGTAATTTTTATTCAGGCACAAAGTTTTCTTTTGCATCGTGGTCATTGTTAATGCTCTCCTGTGTGTCCTCCTCAGCTACACCACTGGTCACATCTGGGCCTGCCCGCCTAGTGAAGGGGACGACTACATCTTCCACTGTCACCCTGCAGATCAAAAGATCCCAAAGCCCAAACGCCTTCAGGAGTGGTACAAGAAGATGCTAGACAAAGCTGTGGCAGAGCGGATAGTGCACGACTACAAGGTAAAGGAGCAGTAGAAAACTTTAGAGAAATAGTGATTTTTGAGATTTAGGATTGAGCAACATGCCTTTCTTTTAGATGCACACTTCTCTAGTCTCTAAGCTTTTTAGAACAACACTGAAGTTCAGTGTACATGTACTATGTTGGTAATAACTGATTGGAATCATGGCCATGCAAAACACTAACTTTATTATTTGTTTACTCCAAAAGGATATCTTCAAGCAGGCGACAGAGGATCGTTTGACTAGTGCCAAGGAACTGCCTTATTTTGAGGGTGACTTCTGGCCCAATGTGCTGGAGGAGAGCATTAAGGAGCTGGAGCAGGAGGAGGAGGAAAGAAAACGGGAGGAGAACAGCACCTCCAACGAGAGTATTGATGTAAGAATGAATCACTCGTCATTGTTCTTCAGTCTATGTACATTTTGTGTGAGAGATTGGGGGGAAAAAGTGGAACTAAAGGTTGTCACGATGAAAAAGACTCAACTCAAGTTTATTATTTGTTTTATTTATGTTTTCCTTTTTTTTTTATTTTTTTATGTCTTCCAGGACACAAAAGGCGACAGCAAAAATGCAAAGAAGAAGAACAACAAAAAGACAAGTAAGAACAAGAGCAGTCTGAGCCGAGCCAATAAGAAGAAGCCAGGGATGCCTAATGTTTCCAATGACCTCTCACAGAAGCTCTACGCCACTATGGAAAAACACAAAGAGGTAAGAGGAAAAAAATGACACATTTTGGGCCTCTCCATTTGTAGAGGGCGAGTTGTGACAAATCATTGTGTAAACTGAGCAGTCAAGCTGCAGTGGTGCAGTGGAAGTATTTGTTCTACTGCACCCCAGACAACATGACAAGTGAAGTAAATTACTTGAACTGCTTTTAAAGGTTCACTAACTCTGTGACAAACACTGCATTTCCTACAACTTTTTCACAATAAGCACCTTGCAAGTTCACCAGTGGAGTGCTTTTAATGTGAAACGGCAACAGTTGAAATGGTTTGGTGTGCAGCATCACTTAATACAGCTACAGTTTGACTGTGGTAATCAGTCAGCAGTAAAATAAGTCTAATACCTCAAATGCAAACAGGAACACAGAAGGAACAATTACCTCCAAATCACAGAGATTCAGACAGAAACTACTAAAGTAATGAGAGTTAACAGACTTTCAAAAACAGAATATTCTTTCAGGTCTTTAATCTTTCGTTTAGCAGTTACTCACACTTAAATTGCTCTGCATCTTATCAGTCTTAAACCAATAGAAGTACTGGAATTAGTGGAAAAGGACTGGATTTCAACACTTAGAATTCAGACTCAAGGTTTAATTCTTTTCAAAGATTCCCCCTCACCCATCCCTCATCTCTTCTCTCCTCCTTTTCCGGTCCTAGGTGTTCTTTGTGATTCGGCTGATTGCAGGCCCCATGGCAAATGCCTTGCCCCCTATTTCGGACCCAGATCCCCTGATGGCATGTGACCTCATGGATGGTCGTGATGCTTTCCTGACGCTGGCGCGTGACAAACACCTTGAGTTCAGCTCGCTGAGGAGGTCCATGTGGAGCTCCACGTGCATGTTGGTGGAGTTGCATAACCAAAGCCAGGACCGCTTTGTTTACACTTGCAATGAGTGCAAGCACCACGTGGAGACTCGCTTCCACTGCACCGTTTGTGAGGTGAGTTAATGAAAGGAGGTTGCTTTGATGAGTCTGATTTGCTGTCAGAGGTCAAAACAAAATAAAAAGCTGTTGTGTTTTTATGCCACTGTACCACTTGGAGTATTTTACATTTCTGACCCTCACTCGTATCATCTGTTACAGGATTACGACCTCTGCATCACATGTTACAACACTAAGGGCCACGAGCACAAGATGGAGAAGTTAGGCCTTGGCTTGGATGATGAAAGTAGCAACCAGGCTGCTGCCACCACTCAGAGTCCTGGAGACTCCCGTCGCCTCAGCATCCAGCGCTGCATCCAGTCTCTCGTCCATGCGTGCCAGTGTCGAAACGCAAATTGCTCTCTGCCATCATGCCAGAAGATGAAACGTGTTGTTCAACATACAAAAGGTTGCAAGAGAAAAACCAATGGCGGCTGCCCCATCTGCAAGCAGCTTATTGCATTGTGTTGTTACCATGCAAAGCACTGTCAGGAGAACAAGTGCCCTGTCCCGTTCTGCCTAAACATCAAGCACAAGCTTCGCCAGCAGCAGCTGCAGCACAGGCTGCAGCAAGCTCAGATGCTGAGAAGGAGAATGGCCAGCATGCAGAGAGTGGGCCAGCCCAATCCTGGAGGACCACCTGGAGGCAATGGCCTGCCCTCCCCTGGAGCCAACAATGGAGCAACAGGGCCTGGTACCCCTACGTCTGTTGGTACGCAGCCTCCTACTCCCCAGACACCCACCCAAGGGAACATGCCTGTACTCTCTCAGCAGCAGGGAGTTGGAATGGGTGGGATGGGTGGAATGGGGGGCATGGGAACTCCAGGCCAGCAACAGCAAGTTCAGCAGCCAGGTGGAAACATCCCCCCTCAACACCACCTCCATCAGTTTCAGCAAGTGGGTGGAGGCGGGATGATGAATTCTCCTCAGCAGCAGATGGTGCCTCAGCTCCAGCAGCCTCCCAATGTCCAGCAGCTCCAGCAGCCGCAACATCCTGGTGGTTTGCCTCCGTACAACCCCAGACCACCTGGAGCATCTCCTCTCCACCAGTCTCTGGGTAAACCTGGACTGGGTCCTGCCACCCCACCCCAGCAGCAGCAACAACCCAACCAGGGCCAGGGGGCCATGCCTGTACAAGGCCAGCAGCAAGGGCCGCCTCTAGCTGCCGTGGAGACGGCCCTAAAGATTCAGCGTCTAGCAGAGACCCAGAGACAGATGGCTCAGGCCCAAGCCCAAGCGCAGATCCGTGGCTTGGGACAGGGTGGCATGATGGCACCACATCCTCACCACCAGAACAGCCAGGCCCAGATGGGAATGCCTCATATTGGGGCCCAAGGCATGCCCCCCCAGGCTCAGGGAGTTGTTGGAAGGACTATGTTAGACCCACAGCAACAGGGAATGCTAGCTGGGATGCAGCAAGGTGGCCCTCAGCCACAGTTGCCGCCTCAAGTTCAGCAGCAGCTCCAGCAGGTGCAGCAGGCAGGTGGTGGGCAGCTTCAGCCAACAAACCAGCAGTGGGGCACGGGGGGACCAACCATGAACCCACAGCAGAGGCCAGGCATGATGGGTCACATGGCACCACAGCAGCCAGCAGTTGCCCAACAGCAGCAGCAACCGATGAATCAGCAACAGCCTCAACCAGGAAACCGTGGGTTGATGCAGGTAATGGGTGTATCGGGAGGGGCAGCAGGGTCACCTGCTTCAATAGCAGGTGCAGCTGCATCAGGAAAACTGCCCCAGTCAGCACTACAAGAGCTCGTGCTAACACTGCGCTCCCCAAACACACCCTTACAACATCAGCAAGTCCTGAACATCCTCCGATCCAACCCAACCCTTATGGCCGCTTTTGTTCGGCAGAGAACAGCCAGGTATCAAGGTACTCAGGGTGGCCCTGGGGGACCAGGAGGGCCTCCACAAGGAGGTCCTGGAGGTGTGAGGTTCCAAGGGGCTCCTGGAGGGCTGCCTGGTGTAGGAGGGCCTGGAGCCAACCAGCTTGCTAATATGGATGGACAACAGGTTAATGTTAACCAGACAGGTCAGCCAGGTATGAATATTGCTCAGGGCGGAGCAGGGGGAGGGAATATGCCCACCATGGCTCAGCTTCAGCAGTTACAACAGCAGCAACAACAGCGTCCGATGTTGCCGGGAAATCTACAGCAACAGCAAATGGCTGCGTTGCAACAGCAGCAGCAGCAACAACAACAGCAGGGAGCAATGCAAGCAGGGCAACAAGGCAACATGGCCAATATGACTCCACAGTTCAGAGAGCTGTTGATGAGAAGACATCTGCAGCAACAGCAGCAGCAGCAACAACAACAGCAGGGAGCAATGCAAGCAGGGCAACAAGGCAACATGGCCAATATGACTCCACAGTTCAGAGAGCTGTTGATGAGAAGACATCTGCAGCAACAGCAGCAGCAGCAACAACAGCAGCAACAAATGGGAAACCACGGGCAGTTCCAGCAGCCACAAGGACTCCAGCAGCAGCAAGGCCAGCAAAGTTTCATGCAGCCTGGCCAGGGACAGCCAGGGATACCGCCGTCTTCTCAACCCCAGCCTGGTGGTGGAGGTGTAGGGGTTCCCCAGCAGCAGCAGCAACAAGGGGGACCACAGGGTGGACCAGGACAGCTAGGCCAGCAGCAGGGCTACTCTAACTCCATGTCACAAGTCGCTGCAGCGCTCCAGCAAAGGCTTCAACATCAGATGCAGATGCAGCAGCAGCAACAGCAGCAGCAGCAGCAGCAGCAAAATCCAATGGGTGGTCTTCAAGGACAGGATGTAGGGCCCAGTGGCGGTGCTGGAGGACCTCCTCTCCAGCCTGGCCAAGGTGGAACGGGGCCGGGGCAACAACCGCAAGGTGGAGTTGGTGGAGCAGGTGGTGGGCCACCACTGCAGCAGACATCCCAAGGCATGCTTCACCAGAACATCCACCAGAGGCTCCTGCAGCAGCAGCACCTAGGAGGAGGATCTCCAGCCCAGCATAGCAGTCCTATGAGTCCCCAGCAGCAGATGGCTCAGTCCCCCCACCCGCACCTCCAAGGACAAGGAGGACTCGGTCCTGCAGGATCGCTCAGCAGTCAGGTCAGGTCACCTCAGCCCTCACCGAGGCCGCAGTCGCAGCCTCCGCACTCCAGCCCGTCCCCACGCATGCAGCCCTCCTCCCAGCCTCAGCCCCAGCCTTCACCTCATCGCATCTCCCCACAGACCCAGACAGGGTCACCGCACCCAGGCCACCTGAGTCAACACCATCCCAGTATGGCACCGCCTCCGCAGCCCCAACAGCAGCAGCAACCAGGTAGTTCTGTAGATCCCAGTCAGTTCAGCTCAGACCAGAACTCTATCATGTCTCAATTGAGCGTGATGACAGGGATGCACGGAGGACAGGGGGGACAGTCGGACATGATGGGTGGGAATAGTAACAGCAGCAGCAACAACAACCAGGAGCTGGGGACGAACATTAACCACAACCTTATGTAGCCTTGACTCCAGACTGTCTTTCTGTCTTGATGCTCTGATCTGTTGCCCCAAATGACAAACTGCCATGAAAGGAGAGCGAGACGGGACTACGGCTTTGGGGTTTTAGAAGTTTTTATTTTTTATTTAAATATTTTTGTGATGTATAAATATGAACTGAAGCTTCCTTCCTATGGGAGATGCAACATCAATCTTAGAAGTCAATAAATGAATAAATTAAAACAATGGTAAGTTATTGCTGTTAATATTTATCTATATATTTTTGCCAATTGTGTACAAAAAGGTGGAAGGGCAGTGTTTCAGGTTGAAGATATTTCTTCAGTATATGACACAATATTTTTGGGGACTGAGAATTTTGCCTTTTTATGAATATTTTTAAGATTTTAAATGTGGCTAAAAATTAAAGTGAGTTGACATGATGTACCTTTTTTATTGTTTTGTTTTCCTCCTCAAATACCCAGTCATGATTGTATCTATTTTGCAGAGAGTACGTTTATTTTATTTCTATATTATTATTTTGTTCCCTCGATGAATCGTTAAACAAGCATCAACATATCTTCCGTTACAGAAGTTGTCTTCTGGACAGTTTTCACAGAAATGTACATTTTACGGTGACTGCAGCAATTTACATATATAGAATTTATTTAGTTTGATTAGGTGGGTGGGAGGGTGTGTTAAATGCAGTTTGATTTTTTTTTTGACAGCTATCTTAGGTTTGTTTTTGTTCCTTTTTCGTCAGGTTTGAATTAAACCTTTACAGTGTTTCGGGTTGTGGGTGACGCTATCTGTGGATTTGGTCGTATTTTTCTGCAAACAGTGGCCACATCTGCAGAACTTGTAGAAATCTTTTTTGCACCCGTGGGCCCCTTCTCCACCCCCCTCCATCTTGAGTTCTCCTGTGAATGTGCACACTTTCCTTACCCCACTACACCACCTGCAGATTATGGAGGGATGAACTGTTGATGCCTGATTGTGTAGCCGTTGTATTTTACCCGTTTGGAGCTGGCCGATGTTTTAAAAAAAAAAAACAAAAAAAAAAAGGTTGTGCGTGTACATATTTTACAACCTTGTTTGTGAACTGTGATGTGGAGAAGAGATGGATTTAATGTTTTAGGGCTGCAGAGGTTTAAGAAAATCCTGCCTGTATCCTCGACCCCCAACGGTTTCCCTTTAAATACTTTTCTCTCGTTCCCCCTTTGTTCCTCATCCTCATGACTGCCTCTCAGCCACAAGGTTTAATTCAATGTTAGTACTGTACAAATTAAGAAATGGTGGACTTAGATACTGTTTTTTTTTTGTAATGAAAGTGAAAGATGTAAAAAAGTGTACATACTTTAAAACCTTATGAGCAGAGAAGTTATTTTCTGCTGCTTGTTTCCCCTTGTTTGATTAGATATTTGCTGTATGTGTAAAAGAAAAACGACAAAAAAAAAAAAACTACAGAAGTGCTCCTGAGCTACTGTACAGTATTGAGATTTTTTCTAAAATGTACAGTATGGGGTGTAGTAGGTCACAAGCACCAATGCGCCTTTTTCTGTGTATTTTTGACAAGGTTTTAGGGAGGAAGGGGTTATCGCAACAAGTCACACACCTGAACAATCTCAAAACCGAGACATGAAACCTGCGCGAAGTCGAGTCGCAGCAGGGCTTTGATTACAAGGTGTGATCTGAAAGAGTTAAAATTTGGTCATTTAGCTTTTTATGGAGAGGACTGAAGACACAATATTCACATGCTCACTATTTTTCTCAAAAGGTTGGGCTTGCTGGGTATGGGGAGGGAACGCATCAGAACCAGGTGGCAATATATCTTGAGACTTATTTTATAAGAAAAAACAAGGAAAAACTGTCTTTTATATATAGATATATTATTTAATTTTATTTTTTGGAAATAAAACTTGAAGCTACAGGAATTATTAGATAAAACATGTTTTGTTTTGTATTAAAGATGTTATGGTGATGCAAAAAGACACTGCAGACAGTCATTCAGTTTGCCCTGGGGAGGCCGTGGAGTATATTATACCATCCTTTTTGAAGAAATGTTTCATGTACATGAATATAGTTGTAAACATACTGAATCACTGTACAAACTGATGGCAACTGAACAAATAGTTTTGTTTTTATCATTTCTTTTCCTAAAAAGAGACTGGAAATAAGACTATTTAAATATTTGTTTAGTATTCAAATGGAATCTTTGACCACTTTTTTTTTGTTCCTCTTGTTAACAATTTCGGTGCTTGCTGAGAGAAAGCAAAAATAACTGTTGCTCCATTTTCATTAGTTTCTTTCTTTTTTTTCTTTTTTTTTAAGTTATTTTGGTGGTCTGATTGTTTTTTTTGCCAATAAATTAATTGTACAATAAAGTATGTTTGTACCATTGGAAAAATACTTGAGCGTTGCCTTGTTTTTCACGTTTGTGTCATTTTATGCAGGTGAATAGATGAAAATCAAACATGTATTTCAGCATCACTCAGAGGAAATTTGTGGTGTTTAAAGGGAAGGTTGCCTTTTATTACAATTTTAGTGTTTAAGTTGAGTCAGATGTACAAAGTCGTTAGGCAAAGATCTTCACTAACCCAAGTTTACTGAAGAGATTATTTTTCAATTAAAAGGTAATAAAGATTGTAATATATAAATAATTAACTAGCTACCAATTAGACATGTTGTTTCCATTGACATCCTACTGCTTGTTTAACAGAAACCACTGACAAGTTAATGTTTCAACCGCAAAATGTCTTTTGTGACCAGTTTGCTTGATCTCCGCTCTAACACATTCTAAGAAATGGGGAACGTGTTCAACTGTCTCGGCCTCAAACATCCAGTGTTGTCCAGGCTATGGTTTATTTACTGATTAATAATAAGGACGTATTGGGGTCTCTTGTGAAATTATGAGACTTCCTAACATTATATATTAGTAGTATATTGTTGTTGATCTCCTGCCCTCGACTTAAAAATTTCCTGTAACACCCTTCCCCACTTACCTTAAAATACTGTGTAATACAAAAGTCCTTATAGCCATACCCCATCACTCGGCAGCCATCTTGGTAACACCCCTAGACCGTTATTTTGGCCTAACAAAATGAGGTCCCAATCTAAATTAATGGGGAGAGAGCCATAACTATAATTCTAAAGGTCACTGTGACATTTAAAAAAAAAAAAGAAAAGAAATGTACAGAATCACTAGTCAAGTCTGATAGAAACTAACGGGAGAGTGGCAAAGGAAAAACAATTTTTAAAAAAAGGTCATAGTAAATGTTGCCTAGAGCAGGGGTGTCGACATCCGGTCCTCGAGGGCCGCAATCAAATTTTAGATGTTTCCCTCTTCCAACACACCTGATTCAAATGATCAGGATCGTTATCAGACTTCTGCAGAGCTTGATGATGAGCTGATCATTTGAATCAGGTGGGTTGGAAGAGGGAAACATCTAAAACATGCAGGATTGCGGCCCTCAAGGACCGCAGTTCGACACCCCTGGCCTAGAGTTTGCCAAAATTGAACTTTTTGGCCATTAAACCAGACGCTATTTTTGGTGGACACCAAACACTACACATCATCACAAATACACCATCCCCGCCTTAACCCTTTATGGGGCAAGTGGCCATATTTGATAACTTCCTTGGACGTTCAGTATGTCCACCCTGTGCCTCTCCTTGAGGTTGAAGAACAGTGTGCACTTTGATTTAGTTTTTATATTAGTACCAATATCACAACCTTACGAAAAATGTCACTAAACAAATGTTCCAGGCACTTTATAAACGCTTTGTTACTGGTTTGCATTGAACTCCACTTTGATTTATTTTTTGAGATTAGTGCCATTAATACCACTACCCCGAGAACAATGTTACTAGATGAGCTGTCCAAGCACTTTTTAAAAGACTTTGTTACTGGTTGTGTAAGTATCATTACCTCAGACGAAAAAGCTTCTAAATAAATGTTGTTTTCAGTTTGTTACTTTTTCTTTCATTTATTACACATTCCCTTTTTTATACTTTAGATGGGTAAGTTACCATATATGGTAACTTTATTTATCTTATCTTTATCTTTTGCAACATTTTTTTAATTCACAAAAGTAAAACTATCTTGAAATATCCTTCAGTGACACCCTAGGGTTGAAATTGTCATTTTCCAAGTATTTCGAGGAGTGCCCTATAAAGAGTTAAAGCATGGTGGTGGCAGCATCATGACGTGTGGTCCTGGAGGTCCTGGAAGGCAGGTAGAGGGTAAATGAATGCAGCAAAGTATGGAAGAACCTTGGAGGAGAACCGGATGCATTCTGCAAGAGAGCTGGGATTTGAGAGAAGATTTGTCTCCCAGCAAGACAATGAATCAAAGCATGTAACTAAAAATAACTAATCAGGATTAAAAATAGTTTTTCCTCACGTTATGATTGGAGTGGAGTTGAACAACACCGTGCTTGAGTCAGAGCAACAACACAATCGGCTGGATGTTTTCCGAATCGGCTGTTATACAGCAGAAAACTGGCTTTTTGGTCAGAGTAGACGCGTTTCACACAACTGACACCTTTGTTGAATTCTCATGCAGATTTGTGTTTTAAGTGGTGAGTCTTAGAGTCTGATTGTACTGAAGTGGTGAAATGCATTTCAACATTTGTAACACAAATAGGCAATAGAGTTCCTAAACAGAAGGTTTTCAGGGGTTTCAAGTGTGCAGCCATTCTGAGACGCTACATTTCCTCAGTCCCAGTCTTACTGTGAGTAATAAAATTCAAGTTTAAATTAAAGCCGCAAGCGGCGATGGACGGGTCCTCGCCCTACGCTTGTCGGCCTTCGCGCGCGGCGGG